CTCATAATTTTATAAATGTGAAAAATAGTGTGGGTATGTATTACTATGTTTTCTGTATCGATTTTATATCGGAAAATCATAGCGATTGTAAAAATAATATGATTTCCTTAATTATTTCACAAACAAACTTGCATATTGTAGCAAAAGTACAATTGCTACAAAATAATCGCTATGAAAAGACAATTTTCTTGTAGTGATCACCTGTCAGGGGAAGTATGGCCCCATTGAAGAGATGAAACCTCTGGCTCCTTTGGATCACCGCTTTATCGAGCAGTCGAAACCACGGCACCAGACTTGGGTGAGTCATTCATTTACCTTTTTACTTTCACATATATTTTTTATTGTTACTGACTTGTCTCTTGACAGTTATCTCGCGAGGTGATTACGAGGATGGCGAGGGGTTTGGACACCTTTCGTTACCAGTTGGTGAGATTGAGGGATCGAGCTTCTTGTCGTCATGACGACACTACATAGGTATTTCCCTTATCCTTATCTTATGTTTTATTTAATAATTTAGCATCTGACATGGTTTACTTTTGTAGGGACAGCCTATTCCTCCTCCACACACTCGAACGAGACCTGAGGCTAGGAGAGAGAGGTCCGGGTCTGACTCGAGGCGTCGACGTACCTCTTCTAGGGGTGAGTGTGGTCGATCGGAGACGGCTACAGCTGAGAGACCGGAGGGTTCAGGCTCTTTGTCTGAGGGTGCATACGCTAGTCCTGCAGGCCAAGGAGGCGTGCCATCGACTCCTTTAGGGGGTGGTAGGACGTACGAGGTTGCCTCGTCGTCGCAGCAGCTGCCGCAACCTTAGCCATTAAGTATTCAACATCGGGGTGAGCCTAGATGGGCTGACCCTACTTTGTCGATCCCGAATGTCGGCGATCCTGGAGCCGGTGAGAGGCATACTCCACGATCTACCTTGTTCTTTGACACTTTGGGAGTGCCTCCCCATTTGCGTCCTCCAGTACTGTAGTTGTACCTATGTTTATTTTATTTGACTTGTAGGACTTTGCTAATTTGTATTATATGACTTCTATGTTAGACACTTTATATATTCAGACTTATTAGGCTTATTTTGTCTTTGCATTTTATTTTTCATTTTATGTGCATGTGAGTGTGTGAAAAAATGTGACTAATTTTTGAGCAAATATTTTCGTCATCTTTATTATTAATGGAGGGTATCCGACTTTCTCCCTCAAAAAGAAAAAATGAAAAATAAAATATTCACTAACGTAAGCCTAAAATTAATTAAGCTTAAATAAAAAAAAAACGTAAAGTCAATGTACAAAATTGAGTCGTAGTTAAAAACATATGATTTGCATAGCGCGGAGAAGCTGTCGTTGAGCTGACTTTTTGTCGCCAAACGCTGACCTCGTCGCCAGGTGACAGGCCCCATCGCCAGACGCTGTTCCTGTTGTCTCGCGTTGCACTTTTTTTCTTCGAATCCTTTCGGGAGACAAACTGTACCAGCTTGTGCATAAATAGCCCCCAAATCTGACGAATTTTGTATATTTCGAATAGATTAAAATAATAGTTATAGCTTTAATTCTCTTTAAGCAATCATGTCTAAAAGCTTTAGTGATTTTACTCGTGAGTGGTGTCGATCTTTGACTACTAGGGAGAGAAAAGAGCTTGATTTCTTTAAACTGAGAGGTATTTATGGTATTAAGGGTGTAGACATAGATACAGATTATATTGATATTGCCTTACAATATTGGAATCTAGACACTCATTGTTTTACACTAGGCTATGATGAATTTAGTCCTTTACCGGAAGAATTTGGTTCTATTCTAGGCTTTCCTTCTATGGATCTTACGGTAATTCCTGGTATGAGCGAATATTATTATACAGATTTTGAGTGTTTCTTTAATCTTAAAGACAAGGATCTGAAAAATATTGTAGATGGAACTGTAATTAATCTGAAAGAATTTGCACGCCACTACTTTGATAAACCATATTCTGAGTCTTTTCATGTTTATAGAAGGAGAGCTTTTCTCTTTTGCATGTTTAGCCAATATCTCCTCACTAGTGGAAATAATCGTGAGGGTCAAGAAATTTTAGTGTTTGTCATGGAACTAATCGAATCAGGGAGGAATCCAATGCCATTAATTGTTGGAGAAACTATGCTTAGTTTGGATGAATTAAAGAAAAATCCAAAAGCACCTTTTCGAGGTTCTCCAATTTTATTACAGGTATATAAATAATATTTTTAATTACAGAAATAAAAAAAAACATATATTTTTGTATAATAATACTGATTATTTGCATTGAATTTTTTTTTACAGATCTGGCTAATGGAGTGGCTAAAATTAGTTAGTCCTCCTTATAACATTGAAAAATATACACCAAATTGCTTTGTTAGGCGAAAGAAACGCTTTTCCGTAAAGATGGGTCGCCGGGAGTGGAGCAAAATATTTGGCTCTTGTGATTTTGCTAACAAATGGATCATCCCATGGTGGAAAATTGAGAAGATGGTTGGTGTCAACAAGCAACCCTTCTACCGTCTTCCAAGCTTATCAAAGTTGACTTTTTATTACCCCTACAGGGTAAAAAAGCAGTATGGCCTTGCTCAAACCATTCCTTTTGGAGATCTTTGTCGTCTTTATGAATTTCCTGTGTCACAAGAAGTAGGGAGGTTTAATGTTTATTGGAGTGCTAGGACTTTATGGGAAGTTGTTACCCAAAAGGTTCCTCTTTCGTTGTCCACGGATTTGAAGCATTGGCTACTTGATAGGCCTAAAAAGGACAAGAAGAAAGATTAAAATAAAACCAATGTGAAGAATCGTCTGGGAGACAAGATAGCTCCTATAAGGAATGCTTAGGTGAAAAAGTTGAATTTAAAAATCCTTTGATGCCTACAACAAAAGACACTACTAAAGGTGAAGAGAAAAGGAAAGCTGATTCTACAGAAAAAAAAAATATGGGTAGAGAAGAAACATGGTGTAATTGCTAAGGAAAAACTATTAACACCAAAATTTAATGCAGATCCTCTAAAGGATGCTTTCTAGTAAAAGTAATGGATGAAGAAGAATAAGCTGACAAGAATTGAAAGAGAGCAAAGACAGAGTAGAAAGATTATAGCATTGCTTTACTTTCACTTTATTAGACAAATTTAATTTTTAAGTTAATTTACTAACTCTATTACAATTATGTGCAATAATTTGATATAAAGTAGGGAAGAAAAATTTCTAATTGTTGCACATAACCTGTAACGGAGGTAGTATTTTGTAAACTTTCATTTAAACTCCATCAATAATGTAATTTTTACATTATTTTATTTATGTAATTTTTCAGCTTTTTAAAATAAATCAACATTTACATTATAATCTTCATTAAAGCAATGAAAACACTTAATAATTTTTTTTTGGAAATATTCGAGTACGGAAGTCAAAAATTTTCGAAATACACCGAAATTCGCCTAGTTTAATGCGGAAAAATTAGCGTCGCAATTTAGGTCTGTCGCCAGACACATGTGTTTGTCACCTGGTGTTGTCCTCGTCGTCGGACGCTGCTGATTATCGCATGGCGCTGTCTTCATCGCCAGACGATGCTGCTGTCGGCCGACACTGACATCTGTTGTCAGGGATGCGTTTGCAATTTTTCGCGTTAATTGCTCTGAGTTGATTTGCTTGGATGCGAGGTTTATAATAATTAAAGTGGCCGCATCCTATAAGGATTGCCTACGTATTTTTTCCAAAGGAATCAGGCCAAACGTAGCTCTCTTGAGTGTCCTACTCAAGTAATTATGGGTATTACTTCTTAAGCTGGTCAAGATTTGTCATGTTTGAGGACTCGTTGCCATCCATATCAGTTAGTTTTAAAGCTCCTCCTAATAGGATAGTTTTGACAGTATATGGTTGTAGGGAATATTTCAAGCATTACCTCAAACTTGAACCCCACTGTAATCATACATTTAAGCATGGTGGCGTCCAGGAAAGGAAGCTAGATCAAAAGTGTCGCCAACAAGTTTTAGGAACTTGTAAACCGTTCACAGGGTGAAGGTTACACCCCTTAACGATCCACGAGATCGTTAACTCCAATAGGTCTGGAACCATGACTGGAAGCTCGGGGATGAAGGTACAAATCTAACCTAAAAGAGATTCAACCTGCCCTAATAATGAGCCTCTAATTTATTCTGATCGTATTCATGTACGCTTTCTGACTAACATGAAATCATTAGCTTTACCCTAAACCTGTTTAATCTATGTTGGTTGAATATTAATGCACAAATAAAACTATTATTAGCGATCACTTGAATTAAAATCAAAATAACACTAAACAAGATTATTAATTAACACTAAACAAGATTCCCTTTAAACAACAACAACAACAACAACTAAACATTAAAAATCATATCATGTCACTAAACATTAAAAATCAAAGCTTTACCCTAAAATGATACTAAGAAAAGCATCCTAATATGATACTAGGAATCAAAATAACAACATATACATGATTTCTATATAAAAATATCAATTAAACAGTTAAAGCACTTACTTGGATGCCTCGTATCTCTTTCTAATAACAAAATACACACGTTAGTAACTTAAAGCACTATTAGAAAAAAGGCTATTTGTAACTGGCGAAATTAACTTTTCGTAACTGGCATTGTTGGTTGCGAATGCCACCGTTACAACTAGTGAAAATTATTCGTAACCGGCTAATGTTAGTTACAAATAATGTACTATTAGAAACTGGCTTAACCCAATGCCAGTTACAAAAAGTTTATTTTCCAAGTTAGAAAGCATACTATTTGTAGCTTGCATTAAGTTACGCCGGTTACAATTAGGGTAGTATTAGTAACTGACAAATCTTAACGCTGGTTAGGAATAGCATTTTATTTTATTTAAAAAAAAATTAAAATGGCAGTAGTAACAGATGCTCCTACTGGCATTACCTACGCTACATTTTTTTTACTGAAAAGCACCATAAATTATTAACCCAACTTTTATACAATAATAAATACAATGATTATTAATCTAAACCACGTAAAGTCCAATTTAATCGACGTTGATCTACATCATCAATTATAAATATAGAAAATAATGTACTTGTAAATTACAAAAATGTCACCAACTTTCAACTACAAAGGACATGTATGTCATCTTACAAGAACAGAGTGATATAAGAGGTGATTTGAACTAAACAAAGTAGAACATTATTGTGATTTCTAAAACAGAACAATCTGAGAATTGCTTGTTGAAATTATCCTCTCGTAAGTCGTTTATATTTTTGAAGGTGCTTGTAGAATAAGCTTAAAATAATATTGAACCCTGCATCTAAAACCAACCTGCCAAATTGTTATCACAAAGACCAATCTTAAATAATTTGTAGAATATGAGTTTGTAAGATATCTTAAAAGGTTCAAATGATAAAAGTTTTGACTTACTCAAGTAGTGATAATGGATTTCTTAACTTATTGAATCTTGAGAAGATTACAAGACATTAAGTATTAAGAGTGTCTAAATGTTATGTGAATAGAATCAGATTAACCATCTCAAGGAAAAGTTAGTTAGAAAAGAAAATAGATACACTAGAATTAGTTTAAACAAACAAAAAAGTAGTAGACAAAGAAAAAACAAGGTACCTGATAGCACCAATGACAACGCAAACAAGCCACACTGCCACTTCAGCCTTGCAGTTTTAACAACTTACCAAAAACCTCAATTTATAAAATACATGACACAACAAAACAAACCCAAAAAGTATAATGATTTCAAGTTGTAGCTAAATTATATTCTATCAGACAACACAAAGAGCTTACCTGCCTTACCATGTAAATCTATGACGACATTTGGCATAAAAAACATAAGATAGAGATGTCCGGGGCTGTGGGTTTAGAGACGGGTGATGAAAGAACACTTCACTCATAAGATAAACATTTGATGGCTGAAATTGACTAAAACATCAGAATGCTTACTTAAACACTAACACTTTCAACACCTCATTTTCATTCATCTACCTAAAAACTCAAGAACCAATATTTTATTTCTCTTTTCTAATTAGAATTACGTGATTATACTTCAAATTTCACTCTATTTCTACTCAATTTATCATGGTCTCTTTTTTCGAGTTTTTTATTCAAGAAATTTGTGGACACAAATAAAGGATCACTAACCTCTTGCAAATTACCCTTACAATCGCTAAGGGAGTCAAAGCTTAATGAACCTGGGAAGAAAAGATAACCTTATATACCCAACACATCCTGCAGTAAAATGAATGATAAATAAATGATAGGTATATCCATTAGTATTCAAGTTAGTATTCAAGTTTATTTCTATTTCTTGTACATTATTAATTTTTTCTATTCTGGACTAATTAAATTTTATAAGTTGTAATAAATAAAATTATGAATGAATAACAGAAACTTAGCAACACGTGTGACTAATAAGCTATCCTCCGACTTCTATCAGAAAAAGTAGATTATCTTAGTCTCTAGAAAAATCAACATTAAAAGGGTTTAAGATCTATACGACAACTAACATAAGTAATTCACTTACATGATGTATCAACTAGTCAACTAGAAGAAACCACCAAAAAGTTTGTGAAAAGCAAAAAGCAGGGCTAGTAATTCATATAGATTTTAAATATATAAATTAGTTAACCAACCTTTTTTTTCGGATCACATATTTGTTTCCAATTATAACTTTGATAATTATTATCTACCCTTAGTTGCCTAGTTTGGTTTTAAAGATGAAGAAGACCTGCCAACAACATATTAGAAAAAATGAGAAAGGAAATTAGACAAAATGTAGTCACATAGAGAAGGTAAAAAAAATAAAACACCAATATGCATGACAAGATTCAAACAAAAATAACCAGTGAAACTATTGTAGAAATGCAATTGTTCGGAGCTATATGGGCAAATTATGTACAATAGACATGTAAGCAGTTGACTAAGATGGAAGGAGTATTAATTTTTTCCACTAGTGATTGAAAGCATGATAGTATGAAACAAATAGCTTCAACCGAGAATTATTGTAACAAAGAATCACAAGTAGCAATATATTTCAACCAACATACTACAGAATGTACAGTTTGTCATACATGGATAAAAATGAGAAAAATAATCTCTAATTTTAGCTAGCAACTTCCCAATATCCCAACCCATAATCCTTCCATAAACCCCATTTTAAATCAGTCTGTTAATCTAAATCCATCATCTAGATCATACAATACTTCCATTGCTTCTTCCTCAACATTCTTATTATATGGTTGTCAATCCAGTTATGTTTTTAATAAAAGCAGAGGAACTTTTATCTTTAAGGCTGTTTTAAATTCTGAATTAAGCATAAATTATTTTGTATCAAACTAACTAGACTGCTCGACCCTAATCCGAGTTATGTGATCTGGTCCTGGTTCATGCAAGATAGGATGGATTAATAGCCTAACCCGGGCACTAGCCACCTTCATGCCTAGGGTTGTGCTTATAATAGCTAGTTAGCTACACAACAAGAACTGCAAAAGGATAGATAAATTACAGTTATCTGCTAAAAAGATCACCAAGTACGGTTTTCATAATAGTACAGATTACTAAACTACAGCACTAGATACTAATCTGGCTTCATTAGTAGTATAAAATTGATTTATTAGAGTAATTGGACCTATGTATGCAATAATGTAGTTGCAGGTATTACATTATAAAGTTGCTTGAAGCAGAGATATAAGACAGTGAAAGCACTAATGCTAAACCTTCTAAGATTTTTCAGTGTAATCATCAAGAGACCTGAAAGCACAAGGATCAACATCGGCTAGAAGAATCAGTGATGGTGCAATTATCTCCTTTACATGCATCTAGATGATACTCTACCATATTATACAAATCCAATCAGATTTATCATTTTAATACTTTAAATTCCACAAAAATTTGCAGAAAATTAAAATTAAAATTTGCTGAAATCTCTCAAATTAGATCCAAATCCATGAAATTTCACAAAATAAGACATTTCCACTAAGATTAACAATTAAACCAAATCCAAATTTCATGAAATTTAACAGGGAAAAATAATTAACTTAGAACAAGTAACATAATTATTCAGCACATAAGATAGTGCTGAAATGTTATAAATTAAGCGGAAATCGATAAATTTTCAGAAAATTCGCAATTAGGCATCCACAATAAGATTTACAAAAAAATAGAATTTCAATTAAAAATAATCACATTTACAAAAAAAAAAATCGACAAAATTTCATAAAACACTAAATAAATCACAAAAATGATAGAATTCAAAGGCAATTACCTGCAAAGCAAGGCGTCGGAAAGCCTTCTTGACCTCAGATTCAAACGATCCGCGATTTAAGGATCAGTGTAAGTACTAGCAGCCGAAGCAGATACAAATGCAACCCGATTTATGCTCGTTTTTTTTCTTCTTCTTCATTAATGGAGAAAGGATAGATAAAATTAATCTCACCAAGCAATGGAGACTGGAACCCTAACCATAACACGGTGAATATTTAGCCTTCCACTTTCGGGATAATATGAAATCCGACCCTTAACCGCCGTTTAAACCAAATCTGATTTCTTAGATAATAGAGATTTAGAGGCTTAGAGCCTTGGAGGAGCTTCAAAGGATTTTCAGTGGAGAGATAAAAATTAAGGGTTTGTGTGAAAAAATGGGTAAGGTCGGAGGAAGACAGAAGAATACAGTTTCTTTCTCCAAAAAAAAAAAAAAAAAAAAATAAAAATAAAGAGAGCATTTAGTAACCAACCATGATGAAGCCTATTACAAATAATAAGTTCAATAAAGTCTGACTTACTATTCGTAACTAGTCTTTTTTATGCCCCTTATTAATAGTTGGTCAACCTATTATTGACCTATTGTTTATAAGTGACATTTGTTATGCCAGTTATTAATATTAATTTATTTATAACCCGCATTATCTATGTTAGTTACTAATACTGTTATTGTAATTGGCATAATTTGTGCCGGTTACTAATAGGCCGTTACAAATAGCAATTTTTCTATTAGTGAAGGAAAATATAAACAAACAATTAAATTAAATTATTGAAAGAGAGATTTGGGACTAACCCTCAGAAATTAAACCTTTCAAATCTAGGGCAAAGGCTGAGAAGAATTAATGATTGAAAACGGAGGTTTTAGAAGGTTATTTATAAAGAAAATCAGCCGGATATGATAAAAAACGAATTAGAGTTTGAAGAGAATAAAACACGACGTTGTCGCCAAACACGCGCCTGTCGCCAGACGCTGCGTGTGTCCCCGGACGCCAGGTCTGTCGCCAGGCGATGGATGTGTCGTTCGGCGCTGTAATCAGTTTTCCACGCGTTTTCTTAATTTGATAAAATTTAAGCGTACGAGAGGGTAAAACTGTAATTTCCTTAAAAACACTTCTTTTATTCTAATTAAAACTCTTAAAAGTCAATTTATCAATGCTAATCAATTAGGAATCAAAAGAACCTTCTAGAAGATTCTAGAAGACTATAATCAATCCTGATCGCATTAGGAATGATAAATCAAAATAGGCCCTCCTCTAGATCATTGGGCCACATATAAAGATCAAACTGGGCCCAGTTTAGTAATTTGGCCATAACTTCCTCATTACTCATCGGAATTGGGCTTATAATGTATCGTTGGAAAGCTTGTTTCGAACCCGACCCAAATACACCATTATTGGACCCTTTCCATGGACTAAACAAAACTTTTTTGGCTATTTTCATAAAATAGGTTTTCTAAAACAAAAAGAAAGAAAAGAAATAAAAACTAACCGCAACACTAGCTTTCCACACTTTCACTTCATTCGATTATGATTCGACATGAAAGGTAATCATCACTAGGTTTGGTTTTGGTGAGACACAAATGGGTGTCTACAGAAGCCCCCACTTTGACTTAGTTTGGAGAAACACAAGTTTCGAAAACAAAATTCAAAGTAGCGACAGGGACGGAAGACGATCTAGAACGTTCTGCGATTGTATTGTCGATATCTGCAAACTAGCATTAGCTAAAACAGATAAAAGAATTAAGAAACGCGTATCTTGCACCGTCGAGCACACGTCTCCTTTGGTAACCGATTTGTGTTTGCATTTGTCGTTGTGACAACCTTCCACAAGCTAGGGAACACCATCTTGCTTCTTTGATATTGATATGTCCACGCGTCTCTAAACAAAGAGATTTGAATGATATGCCCACGCGTCTCTGAGAAAAGAGCTTCGATGATAATGTTCACGTGTCTCTGAACAAAGGGCTTCTTTTGTTTGATGATCTTCCTTAAGCTAGGGGATACCGCCTGAAGACTGCTATGCCTGTAACTGCCTCTAATTTTCGCTGTGATAGTCTTCTGCAAGCTAGAGTACACTATCAAAGATTGCTTCGCCTGAAACGATCTTCAGTTGTTGCGATAATATTCCGAAGAAAATTACCGAAGATCAACGCCTGTCAATCCTTACTGCTGCTTGAACTTTGCTATCGATGCTTTGGGTGATGAAAATCCTCTTTTCTTTGGGAATAGTTGCCAAGACAACTCTTGTATGATGTATCACAATCTGATTTAGGGAAACTTGTCAATGCTTCGTAACAATCCATCCTTCGAAATGTTGCTACGATGAAGTGACAATCCGTATCTCGAAAAATTTGCTAAAATCCGATTTTGGGAAAAGTTGCCAATGCTTCATAACAATATGTTATAAGAACTTTGCTACGATCGACAATCCACATCTTGGAATATAACTCTTGAAAGCAATCCACCTTAGAAATTTGCCAATGCTATGCAACAATCCTTTTAGGAATATATTGCCACAATTGACAATCCGCGTAACTCCTTGACCTATGTAACTCCTCTTATCTTTTTTAAATTGAAAGTCGGTACCCTCCAAATCTGCTCAAATCTTTTGTAAATTAAAGCTCTTCATCTCTAATTTACTGACCCGTGTAACTCCTCTTATCTTGGAAGAATCTCATGAAATCCGGGAATGTCCTCGCTTGCTGGGATGCACCTGCATTTGTTTTTGACTATAGGACTTTGCTCATCTCTTTAATTATCTTAGGGTTGACGTAAGGCTTAGTGTTACTTGACTCATTGACTTGACATGACTTAAGGTATGACAACTCACTTCATGTGACTCGTGCGTGAGGAGTGTTAACTCGATATGATAACACGACATGACTCAATGTGTACATGACTCGTGTGTGCATTGTGATGTGATGTGCTTGACTCGAAAAATGCAAAAAGCAAAATTTTTCGTCATTTCTATGGAGGGTACCGACTTTCTCCCGAAAAAGAAAGACGCGAAAAAAGAAAGAAGAGAAGTTTTTGAAGGTGCATGTTGAATGAGCTTAATCCGTTAACGTTGTCTCTCACAGTACAAGGATTGTAACATCTTAGACTATCCTAGTTGACTCCATAATGAAAGTATTTAGGTAACTTAGGCGCGGAGGCTGAGAATTTCATACTTTGTGATGCAATGATGATTGATCTTGATAGGACAAAGCATGCTTCAACGTTGTGTTAAGATTTCATAACAAAGGGTTCCTAAGGGAAGTATATTTGGTCATGTATCTGTGCAGTGTGTGAAAGTGACACTAAGGTTAGGCCGCAAAGGCTGAGTGTATGGAAAGATATTATTTTTAGAAGAGTCAAATAATGGTGACTCTTTAGGCTAGGTAGGCTAACAATGTAGGGATCAAGCCCCCAAGTCTAGCTCTAAATAGATAGGGATGAGCATAAGAGATCACTTGATATGATCATGATGTGTGAATATGAATGTGAATGCATTTTTATTACAGCCGCACCCCAATGTGAGGTTGCCTACGTATCCGTTAGGAATCAGGCCGAACGTAGCTCTAGCCAAACCTCGCACAAGTTTGTGTATACCTCAAAAAGGTATTTTTAAGGGTTGTGATGTGGTTAGGCTAAAGGATGAAGAAGAAGGGGATAAAAGGCTCAAGACCCTAGATAAGCCCCTAAGGTGTGCAACTTTGCTTTTGAATATTTGTATTTTCATGCTTGAGGTTTCTCACTCTTTTTTTAGCTCTTTTTTTTTTTGCTTTATTTATTTTATTTTTATATGTGTGGGCAATCCCGATCATGCGGTCTATCACTCACTTGGTATTCATGTTTCTCAGGCACGGTACCGAGCACTCGACAAGAAACGCAATCCGATACGTGTTCTTATCATAGATATTTTCATATGAAAGACATTGGAACACTTGCCCTTTTGTACACTTTTATTTATTTATTTTTTGGATTATTTTTTGCTATTTTAATCTTTTGAAGTCACTCAAGCTTTTTATGAAATTGAAAATTGCATAAGTTGCACACCATCCCATCCCAAGGTTAGGTAGATGTGGGTTGAAAAATGAAGGGTCTATCGTTAGACGAGGCTCAAAGTGGTTTATCATGAAAAGATTGTATATTTGAAGGGATGAAGATGATATGATGGGCTACAAAGGGTCCTCAAATCATTAGTATACCTTGTGCTTAGTTTGACATGGATTTTTTTTTTTTTTTTTTTTTTAAATGCAATGCTATGATCATATGCAAGAAATAAATGCTCATTTTTATTGAAAGAAAAAAGAAAAAGAAACTACAAAGTAAATTTAAGGGAAGAAAAAAGAAAAAGTGCCTATGCTAGACTTATTGGGGAAAGGAAAAAATGAAAAAGAAATAGAAAAAGAGGTCATGAAATCTTTGAAGCTCGCCTCTTGTCTTGTGTCGTTTGCTTCATCATCACCCAATCTTCTCGCTTACTAGAGGCAATGGGATCTTGTTTGCTTCTATGAGATCTTGAACGAGATTTTGAAATCTTTAGCATTCATCGGTGGTATTGACAAGGTAAAGTCGTATCCCCAAATCAAAAGTAATTCCTAAATCCTCTAACTAATGTAGATAGGGAAGTAGGCTCGAATCCACAGAGAAACGAGTCTTTCTATTCCTAATTAACTAATATAATCTAGATTATAAAGTAACCAAAATATAATGATCGAAGGGAACTAAACTACGAAGAGTAAAAGTAGGAAAGAATAAAAGTAGGAGGAAAAACAATGAATAAAAGGCCTAGGGCATAGGTTCACCAATAAATAATATTCCAGGGTAAAACATAATAATCAATCATTAATGCATCAATTAATCAGATCATAAAGGGATTTCGCTACGTATTACAATCACATAATTAATATACCGGTATTAAATCTCATCTCTCGAATCTCGACTTAACCATTTATAAATTAACCTGTCTATTGAAACTAGACCTAAATATCAATTCTCATCTCTCGAATCTCGAATCAATATTGTCAAACTCTTGCATAAAAGATCAGGCCTAATCTAGTCACAGAGCATTAAATCAATCAATAGGAAATTAATCTAGCATTGATAATCAACAACAATAAATTACCCCTTCATATTATTTATGGATCCCCACAAACCCTATAAAGAAAACTATTCAGACATAATTAAATTTAAATTCAACAAAGCAATTAAACAAGACATGATCAAGGAAAGAGATTAAATAAAGGATGGAATTAAATCAAGAGTTGTAGAGAGAGAAACAAGAGAAAAAGTAATACTAAGAGTTTAATTAAGAGGAGAAAGAATGAAAAGTTAGAGAAAGAAAGGGAGAAGAAAAATAAACTAAAAACAAATTAATAAATCTAAACTAAACTAAGACTAAAACTCAGGAAAACTACCTACTGCCTAACTCCTACGTAACTCCTTTAAAATAAGATAGGAATAAGGAGTTTTACTCCTAATCAACTTCAATTCCCACTAGAAGTAAAGCCTGCGTCCAACATCCGCAATA